CCTGGGTTTGACTCGTAAGCTTCCTGTGGATGCTAGGACCCCTGTGGGGAGGGGCCTCGGGAAAGGACGCTGCGTCAGCCGCCCAGGGGCAGCTGGAGCCCGAGCCTTGCCACATTCACCTGAACCTGAACTCCAAGCCCTGTGGCGCTGTTCCAGAGTGGCATTTGCACAGGGGACCGCAGCCCACGTCCGCCTCGGGCTCCCTCCTGCTCCGCTGTCAGCGCCAGCGGCGGCACCGTGGCCATGAGCCTTTTGGGGGACTGGTGCAGGGGGCTGGCCGTGGACGTGCACAGGGCCCTGCTGGTCACCGGCATCCCGGAGGACCTGGAGCAGACAGCCATCGAAGCCGTCCTGAAGCCGGCGTTGCTGCCCCTGGGCAAGTTCAGGCTGCGGAACACGCGGGCCGTGAGGGACGAGAAGGCCAAGGCCTCCCTGATGGAGTTTGTGAAGGGCATTAATCACGGTGCCATCCCCGGGGAGATCCCGGGCAAGGACGGCGGCTGGAGGGTTCTGTGCAAGGACAGCGCGAAGGGCACGAGAGTCCTGAGGCAGATGAAACGCTTGCTGTTGGATAAAAGGCCCCCACAGGCCGCAGTGGCCAGGGCCACCGGGGACACGCCCACCCCTCCCGCTTCGGAGACCCTGGCTCTGGGGTCGGAGCCGGGGGTCAGGGAGGCTGGTGCAGCCAAAGTGCAGGAGGGGCCGTCGGGGTCGCAGAAACAGAACCAGGGGCCAAAGGTGCTAGGAGGGGCCGTCGGGGTCGCAGAAACAGAACCAGAGGCAGCAGGTGGGCCAGAAGAGCGTCGTGGAGGGCGGCCATCCACGTCGGGGAGCGGGAGTCCCAAGACTCTCCCGACTAGAGCCTGGGTATCACGATCGAGGAGATGGGCAAGGAGGACTTGAGCGGGGATGGCGAACAGAGCGCGCTGTACGCCACCCTCCAGCCCGCCGCGAAGGAGCCTGTTAGGAAGTGGGCCCTCCAGAGGGAAGGAGATGATGGAACGGTCCCGGCGAGTTCTTGGCCCTGGCAACGGTGACGGACAGAGCCAAGAAGAGGAAGATGGAGAACGATTCCCCTGGGGCTGAGTCGATCAGCCTGAACATCAAAGAAGACCGGAGCGAAATTCCAGACTTAGTGGCCCTACTTACTCGCAGTGAGAGACACGTCGGACGAGGAGACCATGGGCAGCGACGCCTCCCAAAGCGAGTCTCAGGAAAACGGGGATCAAGAAAGAGGGGGATGGACATTCCCGAGTTTGTGGCCATTGTGCCTTGTACAGACCCCGCGGGCCACTCCGCCTGCGACGAGATGTTTGAAAATCGCTTCTGTGATCGAGTTTCTGGGCTGGAGCGACAAGAAAGCTGCCCTGCCCGAGGTCTTGTCCGTCATGGCCAAGGACACTTCCGGAACCCGAGTGAAGGTGGAGGAGGCGGGCCGCCAGGTGGACGCCGTGGTCCTGAGGAAGACCAAAGACGGCGCTCACCTGCTGGGGTGCATCTCCACCGGGGCTGAGCCTCGGACCACCTGCAGAGGGAAGAAGGCTCCCGGTGGCCCGCTGGGGGGCTGGGGCGAGGACGAGGAAGATGAGGGCGGCCTCCTGGAGCTAGCGGTGCTCCTGGATGCCCAGGACGTGGCTGAGGTGATAGGAAGAAAAGGAAAAGGCCTGGCAGAGCGGGAGGTTCAGATGCGCCAAAGGCAACCTCGGGGAGGTCTTGGCGCTGCGGGCGGCCCGCGGGAACAGGGAGTCGTAGGACGTGGAGAGTGAGGACTCTGAGCCCGAGGACCGTGCGTCCAGGAAGCCCCGGGCCAAGCGGGTCCGCCCGGCCTTTAGGGCCCTGGGTCGGGCGGGCTTGGGCAGCGGCTCCCGCCCCGTCGGGGACCCGCAAAACCCGAAGGGGAGGCGGCGGCCCCGGCGGGCTGGGCATCCCTCCCGAGACGGAAGCCCAGGACGAGGAGGCAGGAAGCAATAGCAGGAAGGGGCGCGCGGGCGCTGGGGCGCAGGCCAAGGGCGGCCAGCCCAGGGCTCGGCCGCCCGCCGGCTCCAAGTCCACGCGTGGGAAGAAGGCTGGTCGGGGCAAGAGGCTGCCCCCCAAGTGCCGCTAAGGCCACGGCGAGGCTGCAGCTGCCGGTGGAGCCCCAGTTCCGCCCCTCGGCCCTCCCCGCCGCGGAGGCGGCAACCGCTGCACCGTGGGCACTGAGCTCTAAAGTGCGCGCCCGCCCACCGCTCACTCCCCTGTCCTTTCAGTCCCTCCGTTGCAGGTGGCGCGAGCGAGCCCAAGGGAAGAAGGAAGAGTGTAACGGGCGCCCGCGGAGGCAGCAGCCCTAGGTGATGGGACGGGGGTCTCAGGCCCCCCCCAGCGGGATTGTCTTTGGGTCTCCCGCGTTAGCGCAGGGGTGAGCGTGTCCGTGGACACCGGGCACTGGGGGAGGCCAGCAGTGCCAGTGAGTTCTTTCTGGCTGTTCGTAGAGCCCCGATGCCTTCCAGACTCATGCTTCTGGCCAGCGTCTCCGTGCCCCTGTCATCCACCCCAATCTGACGGGGGCCGGGCTCTGCGATGGAGGCTCGGCCACCCAGCCGCGTGGGGGTGTCAGGATGTAGCTGAGCCTTCAGTCAGGAAGGCTGAACCTCCCTGCTGGGGGAGGAGATGATTCCAGGAAGAGAAGCCTGAGAGGCAGAGGGGTTGCTCCTGGGGGAGGGGAAAAGAGGTGGGGGAGGGAAAGGGAGGGGCGGGGCTCTGGTGACCAGGACCAAGGAAGGAGGGGAAGGAAGAGAGAGAGAGAGAGACCCACACCTGCCCTGGCCATCTGAAGTGTAGCTGGTACAAATGCACCAGCTCCTCAAGGCCAGAGCCACCTGCTGGTGCCCAGACACCGAATCTGTCACTCAACCTGCACGGTGTTTTCAAAGAGTGGGAATTATTTGCAATATTTTCAGTTTGGGACAATTCCCATACAGAGTGTTGGATTTTCTCTGCAGTACCAGGCGGTGCTCCTTCACGGGCCTGTGGCTCCCTGCACGTCCCACCAGCTGTCCCCCACCCCACCCCCCGTGGGCTGACTCCCCTCAGCGCTGGAGGGGAGGGGTATGGCCGGCAGATACCCGAGGGAAGCGCTCTCAGGAGGCAGGAACAGCCCGAGCAAAAGCCCCGAGCCAGGGCTGTGGTGATTGGGGTTTATTCGTGTGTAACCCCTGACCGCTCAGGTGCCAGGATTCCCGGCTAAGCGTAGGGGAGACCGTGTCTCCAAAACAGGCCACCTGCCTTCACGGGGGTGGCTGTCTATTTGGATTCCACGTTACTGGAGTTTAGATTGTTAGCGTGCAGAGGTCCCTGGGGTCGGGGCGAGCAGACAGGTCGGGAGCGTGCCCCCCTCCCCTTCCTGGGACCTCTAGGAGTAAGCTGTCCCACCCCTCGGTCTGCTCAAACGGAGACAGGGGCCCCCTGAGACTCCCGGGGATGTGACCTGGTCCTAGAACAGCCTGGAGGGAGAAGCCAGGGCTCCAGAAACAGAAAACAAGCCTTTCCCTCTATTCGGTTCCTCGAAGCCTGTTGCCCACGAGGCCCCGCCTTCCTTATTGCAGGCCCCGCCCCAAGACAGGACGCTCCGCCCCGCTACAACTAGGCCTGAGGAGGTAGTGTCAACTCAGGCGAGTTGCCGTGGCCCGTTTATCCACCAGGTGGCGCTCCAAGACCGATGGTTAAAATCGCGCCGTGGTGGCTCTCAGGGTGCGCCCACTGTCGCAACCAGGAAGCGCTCCAGGACAGACGGTTAAAATCAAGGGGATGACGGCCCTTCTTGAGCACTAAAGGTGCGCGGGCACTGGTCCACTGCCTTGAAACTTCAAAGCTCCGCCTGTTTTTTGAACTTTCGGCCAGGCTGCCGCAGTTCTCAAAATAAGGTCCTGAAACCAGCTGCATCCCCGTCTCCTGGGAACTTCTTAGGAATGCATATTCTCGCCCCCCCTACCCCCAACCAGCCCTACAGCTCTACTGAGTCAGGTCTAAGAAGCTCAGGCCAGGACTGCAGCTTCAGGAGGACCCAGGTGACCTTCAGACCTCCCTCCAAGAATTCCCTTTTCTCCTGCCTGTATCGAGGTTGGGCCAGGGTCATTTGCTGTGTTTTTCCCCCAGTGAGGTTGGGTGAGGGGACACAAAACAACACAGAGAAATGTCCCCCAGCTCCCACAGCATGTAGCAACCTGATGTCTCCCGATTATAAGGGCCAGTCACAGCGTACTGCTCACTACCACACCACAACGCACCTTTTGCCCTGTTCCTATTGCAATGAAGTTTTTTCAGTGTGTCCAGGAGCCAAGCTGCCCCAGGAGACGTTTGTGGGGCTTGATCAAAACGGATTCCTGGGCCTCACAGCCTGCACCAGCAATTCACAGCTCTGGCACAAAGGGCTCCAGAACCCGCGTTTTGGCCACGTTTCCCAGATGATGATTCTGTACTTGGTAGCCAAGATGTGACGAAGCATGTAAACTGCGGGCCCTGTACCCACCAAGCCTGCAGAACCCAGGAATGTGGGGATGGCAAGCAAAGTGACTTAAACACAAGTCGCCGTCATGGAGGGGGGGAGGGGAGGGGACACAAGGCTATGACAAAATCACCCTGGAGCACTCTTCAGTTGCCGAGTCCACAGCCAAGAAATGTTTGTAAACACTTTTATTTGCATGTTGACCTGCGCCCTCTTCTTAAGTTCCAGGAGGCAGTGAGTTTAAGTGTGCAGGCGAAAGGGCGAAGAAAAAGGAGAAGGGGAAGGAATTTCTCCCTCACCTCTCCCTTTTTCAAGCTGAGCACCCAGAATTGCATATGAAGAAGTTAAAATCATGGGTGATGCGACCCCGTTGTATGGGTTTATTTATTTACATTCCTTGGGTTACTATAAAGAGTCTATATTTAAAAAAAAAAAAAAAAATCAATGCATGGGGAATTCCCTGGTGGTCCAGTGGTTAGGATTTGGCACTTTTACTGCCGGGCCCAGGTTCAATCCCTGATCCAGGAATTAAGATCCCACAAGCCACGAGAAAAGAAAATTAAATCAATGCATGAGAGACACAATTTTAACAAGAAAACAAAGAGGGGTGTTAGATGGAGATGCGCGGGGCACTGCCAAGCCCTTGCTGTACCTCCATTTTCAAGTACGGAGATAGCACCTCTGTCCAAGGGTCGGAGTTAGGGACACACCCTGAGCGGCCCATACTGTGGCAGGTGGCGAGGTCCTCCGTGGCCCCCCTGCCCTCTCCTCACAGCTGGTTTTCCTGCTCCCCGTGCTCTGCCTCTGCTCTGGCCTCAGCCCTCAAGACCCTGAGGCTCCTAGCCCCGCCTGCCCTGGGGACTCTCTTGGGCAGGGTGGGCAACCGGGGAGCGTACCAGAAGGCTCTCCGGCGCTTTCGGAACCATGAAAAGCGTCCAGGGGTCTGGAACCTCACTGTCTTGACCTGTTTCCGGGTCCTAGATCCTGGGCTGACCCCTAGGGCCCTCCCAGCAGCTAAGGATTCAACTCCCTGGACAGCTGGGGTCTCTGCCCTCTGGTCAGATATGGCCTCTGCCTCCTCAGATACAGCCTCTGCTCCCTGGACATCTGGTGCCTCTGCCCTCTGATTATCTGCATCTTCTACCCTCTGGACAGCTGGGGCTTCTGCCCTCTGATTATCTGCATCTTCTGCCCTCTGATTACCCACAGCCTCTGCCCCCTGGACAGCCACGGCCTCTGCCCCCTGGACAGCCACGGCCCCTGCTCTTTGATCACCTACGGCCTCCACCCTCTGATTATCTACGGCCTCCACTCTCTGCTCATCTACAGCCTCTGCCCCCTGAGCCCTGGCTGCTGCCTCCTCTCTCCTGCGACGCCAGAATGAGGCCCAGTTGATCTTAGGCCTCCACCGTCTTGGGGGGCTCTCAGGCACCTGCCCATCTCCTGCATTTCCCACATTATCCCCCAGGCTGGCGCTGCGTGGCACTGATACGCCATCCCTCTCCAACCTGGTAGAGGCCTGCCAGGCTTCGCCCACCCCTGGGCTGGACCTCGGTGCCCAGCCCTTCACCCTCCGCTTCAGCTTCCCCCAGGACACCTGGGTGACGTACTCCCGCCACCTGTCCGCCTTGGACAGCTGGGGCACCGGGTTGTCCTCAAACATGGGCACTGGCAGGTTCACCCGGCGCCGGGCTGGCAGCGCGCTGGGCTTCTTCTCCCCTCGCCGGAGGAAGGCCTCCACCAGTTCCTCATCATCCTCGCTCTCCAGGTCGCTCCCAAGGAATTTGCTGCCCAGGTAACTGACAGGCATTTTGCGCACCTTCCTGCCACGCCCCGTGCCTCTGTGGCCCTTGTCACCCTTGTCTCTGGAGGTCTCGAAGTCGCTGAACTCGCTGTCACTGGCGTTGCTGCTGTCATAAGTGCCCACGACCAGCCGGGGAGGTGGGGTCACCATCTGCTGGACTCTCCTCATCCGGGGCCCCTTGGGTTTTTTGGGGGGTTGGGGTGGATGCGGAGTGCTCTTCTCTATGATGCGGGCCACATCCTCCAGGGTGCGGCCTTCTTCCTCCAGAAACTGGATCAGCCGCTCCCGAAATTCCGCCTCCTTGGTGGCGGGCTTGGAGATGACCCTCCAGACGCCTCCCGCCAGCCTGACTTCGCGGGGGATGAGCAAATAGTCCACGTCCTCCCCGATTTGCAGCATCCCCACTGTGGAGTCCTCCTCCCGGCGAAACACCTTGCCGATCTTCTTAAAGGTCCCTACAGGCTTCAAGGCTTCCACGAGGACGTCCAAATCCACATCTTTGCAGACGTCGGGGACGCTCCAGAGGATCAGGCAGTCGGGGGATGGGAGGAAGCCCCAGGGGAACCAGCCCCCCACATGGCTTTTCTCGAGGGTCTTTAAAATCTCCAGGGTGAAATCTGGGGTGGGGGCAATGAGCCCAAACTACTCGTAGCCCCGGGTCTTGGGGGTGAGGGTGGGGTCTCGGTGGCGCCGCCGGGAGAGTCTCCCCTCCCAATTTCTCCGCCTGCAATGAGTCTGGTCTTGATCAAGTCCCGCTCCCCTCAAGGACTGGTGGGGATCAATTTCCAGGATGCTTACGTGAGCCGGGATGAGGTCAGTCCTGAGGCTTCAAGCCCACCGCAAGCTGCAAACGGGTGTCCCGGCTGCAGCTGCGATACAGGGGCTGCCCGGAGGCTCTTCCTGTTCCAGGGACGTGCCTGGAACTTGGGAGAGAACTTCGCAGACAAAGAAGGCTCAGCCGTGGCTATTCAATATGGCCGAGGCGCTTGGAGGCCGCAGCCCAGTTCCCCAGGAGGGTCTCCCGCCCCTAGGCAGGCTGCCACCCCGGTCCAGGCTGACCTTGACGCACCTCCCACCTCCCAGCCCGAGCGCTCAATGCCTAGGAGCGCGCGCGCAGGAAGCTCCTCCTCGCCTTCCCCCAGGATGAGGCCCACCTACCCCCTTCTCATCTTACACTCCGGGACTCGGGAAGACTGACAAGGGGGCTGTCCACTCCCTTCGGGACGCCCTCGCTCCCCTCCCCCACAGGGGTGTGGCCGCGCCCCGGGCCTCTCAGGGGCCCTATCTTCCAAGCTGAACGCCCGCGCCAAAGCCCAAGCCCACGTCAGCACCTTACCCCAGGAAAGGCAGCAGTTCCCAAACCTGCCATCCTAAACGTGCGGGTTCCAGCCAAGCCCTGAAGGTGGGCGTGCTAATGGGACAGTCCCTTTGAAAGCCATTGGCACTGTATATTACCGTTTTAAAATCGCGTGACTTGTGGTACCAGCAGTTCCTACCTATATACCGAGATGTGTGGGTGGAGACCTTGGTACCAGGGTCTTTCTGCACCAACCGCAGTGTGGGGCTTGGCACACAGTAGGTGCCCAAGAAATATTTTTGAGTGAGTGAATGCGTTACCGACCAGGGTTCTTGACCTCCTTAATCAATAGAAATTGATCAGAGGCCAGACAAGAAATTCAGGCAAGGCTTTATTGGGGCCCCTGCGGCAGCAGGGGGGAGTGTGAACAAACAACACGTTCTCTTGCTGGCTCGCTCCCTGGGGCCGGGTGTGTGTTGGGGGGGAGATGCTCATATGGGGTGAGGGTAGGGGTGTGTCCAGGGGTCCGGCTGGAGCGGTGGCTTAGGTGGTTTGCCCACCCCTTAGGTGATGTTGTGTGCAGGGGGCATGCGCAGTACCCTGTTTTTGCTCCAGACCCCCTGCTTTTGTTCTGGGCTCTTCAAAAGTGGCAGTTGGATTTTTTTGGTATCTTTTGTCCAGCATTTGCCCTAACTGCGCATGCATGCAGTTATTTTCAGTCCCATGTAGTTTCCTTGTATTCTGTTGCTGGAGGAGACGTGTGTCCAGGTGCAAGCATGGCAGCACTGCAGCAAAGGGTCCCAGGTCCCAGCCTGTCTCAAATGAACCTAATTGTTCATTTGTAGTATTTGACTGAACTGCACAGCTCTGTTCTTAAAGTGATATATACTAGGCAGCTATGAAAAAAAAGAAGTGACTGAGAATAGTCACCTTTTATGGAGCACTTCCTATGTACTAGGCATCTTTCTAAGTGCTCTCTACGAATTAACTCATGAAATTAACTCACCAAAACATTATGAGACAGGTAATATGATGATCATTCCCATTTTATAGCTGAGGAAATAAAATCACTTGCTCAAGGTCACATGGCCAGGAAGTATTGGAACCTGGATTTGAATCTGAAACAGTCTGACGTGTGCGTGTGAGCGTGTGCGCATGCGAAGGCCAAAGGGTCTAGGTGCATATGTTTACTCATCACGTATATAAGTACCGCCCAAAATGGCTGTGTCTGGGGAGGGGGACTAGGGACCCCCAGAGGTGGCAGAGACATGTACTTTTCACTCTATATCCTTTGGGATTCCTTAGATTTTTAGCAATCGAAAATGTTCATTAAGGGAATTCCCTGGAGGTCCAGTGGTTGGGACTCCGCGCTTTCACTGCCAAGGGCGCGGGTTCAATCCCTGGTCGGGGAATTAAGATCCCACAAACCCTGCGGAGGGGCCAAAAAAGAAAAGAAATGTTCATTAAAGTAAGTTAAATTAAATGGAAGGTCCTCAGACTTGGCCACAGACATAGTGCGTCAGGATCCCTGGGACGTGTTGACCAGGATTTGCAAAGCTTCCCAGGTAACTCTGAGGCCCACGAAGCCCTATTAAATCTCCCCACTTCCTTCTCTCTTCCTCTCCTCCTCACTCCACTCCAGCCACACCTGCCTCCTAACTGTTCATCCAACACACAGGCTTACTGCCACCTCAGGACCTTTGCACTTGCTGTTCCCAACACCCAAAATGTTCTGCTCCCACTTCCTCTTGGCAATCTCCTACACCTCAAAGGTCATCATTTTAGAAAGGTCATACTGCCTGCCACCCCCAAACTACTAGTTGGCCTCCACCCTCTTCTGGGCCCTCCAGTCCAGGAATCCTTAACCCTTTCTGTGCCATAGACCCTTTTCAGGATAGTTTTTCAACGCATAGAATTGCATCCATGGGATTACAAAGGAGACCAATTATAACGAACTAGAACTGTTAAAAGAAATATCGCAACAACAAAACCTGTAAACTAATGACTTTAATATAAAAGTATAAAAATGAACACGTGTAACTTTAACTCACCACGTGTGATTTTATTTCACTCTTGAAGGAAGCAGGCAGATGTTTAGGGAAAGAAGGAAGGGAGAGAAGGAAAGAAGGGAGGCAGAAAGATGCTTGGGGGGGCGGGGGATGGTTAAGGTCTCGCTGAGACCTTTTCACAGTTATTGGCTCATTCGGGTTGTTTTTGCCTTTGCAGAGCCGGATCGTTAGGCTTCGCTGGATTTTCTCCTCCTCCTCTCACAAGCTCCATCCCAGCCGCCGGGGTCACTACGCCCCTCCCTCTTGCACAATTTCTCTCCCCGCCTCCCAGCGTTCTCCATGGCAACGAGGAAGATGCACTCCTTCCCGTTGGTCCGCTCTGAGAGGGTGGGCGGAGGCGGAGGGCGGAGCAAGGTAGCCACTCCTCTCAGCCTCTTATTACTTCCCTCGGCCTGATCCCACAAATCAGCTTCCCTGAGAAGCTGCTTTGTAGAGGTCCGAAACTAAAAATTTCTGCGACACCTCTGGTTGAGGAATGTTGGCTTAAGAATCCAACTCTGATAAGTCAAGGCTTCCACGTGGGAATGGCCTCGCGGATGAGGCATTGGGTTTTGTAACTGGTAAAAATTGTGTTTGGGGGTGGGTGGGGGGGGGAGGATTATCCTAGAAATAAAACCCTCAAATGTTCAACAGTGTTACACAAATTGCCAATCCCTGAGCAGTTCCGCTGTGGGCGATTTGGATTACCCAGCTCGCTGGCAGGCGAGATTCTCCAGCCGCCCCAGAAAAAACCGATAATTATAGCTCTTACTTCTATACTTGTTTAAAAGAAATGAAAGATCCAGAAAGAATGGAGGAAGAAAACAAAACATGGCTCAACGCTCTCTACCCAGCTACACTTGGTTGCCACTTTAAAAAAAATTAATAAAGGTAACACACACACACTTAAGAAAATGCTGAAGTTTACAGAAAGGCTAAAATGAAAAACAAGTCTCCCTCCCACCCCCCGTCCCAAGCCTCCAGCCTCTCCCCCCAAAGTAACCACAGTTAAATGCCTCTGTACTTTGTTTTCTAAAACAAAAATGCTGGCATGGGTAATTTTAGAATTTAACCCATGAGGATTTTTAACATGATCCTGAATTATTTTCATCACATCATTTACCACGTCCTCGTATTTTCTTATTTATGCATTGTCTCACCCTATTAGAATACTAGCCCCATGACAGCAGGGATATTTGTCTAGTTTGTTCGCTGCTGAATTTGCAGAATCTAGAACAGTGCTGATCGGAGCTCAAAGTATTTGTTGAATGAATGAATGAGGGGATTATAGATCTAGTGCTATAAAACATGCTTTTTTCACTTAGTAGCATGTCTTGACGTCTTTCCATATCAGTACAAGCAGATCGATCTCAGTTTTCTTTTTTCTCAGCAGCTTTCATCTTTGCATAAGCCCTCAAGCCTGGAATGTAATAATACTGATAATAATTCATTTTTCTTGAGCATCTATTTTACCCCCAACCCTGTGCATTTTCTCTTTTAATCCCACAACCCCTCCTAAACAAGTATTATTCCCATTTTTCAGATGAGAAAAACTGAGGCCAAAGGCAGCCACACAGCTAAGAAGAGGCAGAACTTTGAATCCTCAGGATTCTTAGATTCCAGCCTCCTACTTTTTTTTTTTAAGTCTTTATTGAAATTGTTACAATATTGCTTCTGTTTTATGTTTTGGTTCCTTGTTTGCAGGCATGTGGGATCTCAGCTCCCCCACCAGGGATCGAATCCACACCCCCTGCATTGGAGGGGGAAGGCTTAACCACTGGACCACCAAGGAAGTCCCACCCCATACTCTTTTTAAATAATGTGGGATCTCAGTTCCCTGACCAGGGGTCGAACCTGTGCCCCCTGCAGTGGAAGTGCAGAATCTTAACCACTGGACTGCCAGGGAAGTCCCTCCAGCCCCATACTCTTAAGCCTCCTTTATTTGCCCTGTTGCCTGTGGTGGTTGTGGTTAGGGAACAAGGTTGGCGGGCAATCCCCGAAGACTTCTCTCCCAGGTGACATTTGTAACTCTGCCACAGTCACCAGATTTGTCCTAAATGTCCCAAAATCAGATCCCTATCTAGAATGAACAGGATATAAATTATCCACACTTTTGAACCAGACATCACTGGGTTAAGAGACAGCACATAGTAGGTCCTCAACACATACAGCAGGAAGCAGCCTTGTGGCCCACACTCCAACCACATAATTGGGTCGCTCTCCCCTCCCACCCTCCCCAATCCCAAATCTGAAGGCTTTTGGTGAGCATGGAAGCAAAGCTGGTAGTTAGAGCAGCCGTATATTTAAAGAATCATTCATTCATTCATTTATTCATGTGGTACATTTCTCTAAAGCAGTGATTCTCAAATCTGGTTGCACATTAGAATCACTGGGAAGAGTTTTAGAAATCCCAGTTTCCTGAGTCCAACCTACTGGATCAGAATGTCTTAGGGTGGGGGTGGGGTACTACATTTAAAAATCTTCCCAAATGACTCTGACAGAGGTGATGGCTGGTAAGGATGGACAGAAGTAGGTGAGGAAATGAATGTCCCTAGAGGAGCTTGACCAACTGGAAGTACCACAATAGCAGCGAAGAACCAGATTGGAAATTACGGTTTGTCCAATTTTAGCAACATAGAGGAGCCCTTTAAAGGGCGCGGGGGGCTCTCAGGTTGAATAATATCTACCCAAAGATTTCAGGTCCTCATCCCTGGAATTGGAAAATGGTGCTTTATCTGGAAAAAGGGTCTTTGCAGATGTAGGTAAAGATTTGAGATGAGATTGCCATGGATTATCTGGGTGGACCCAAAAACTACCATCAGGAATGTC